CTGGGTGGAGGGGGGGGGGGGTGGAGGCATATAATTTTATTGATGTAAAATGAATATACGTATATACTCAAATAAATGCCCCTTGTAAACTTCCATTGTAAACATGAAACTACAACACATTTATCTTCAAAATGTGTTACTACATGATCATAAAGATTTATTGATCGAAACTAGGTTAGAAAAAATGTAATTCTACTGGAGTAGAACAACCGTTTATTAGAGGGAGGCGTTTATTCCAAATGAGGCTCTAGAGGGGATATTTATTCAGAGTGGGGCGTTTATTTGAATTAATACGGTACATCAACATTCTGACAAAATATGTGTGCGAATATGTACAGCAACAGCTATGTTGTCTATTAATGATATATTGAAACTTTATTCTGGGTAAAATGTGCAGATAATTCACAGAATTGTTTGTGAAATTCCTGTGGAAATTGGTCCATTCATGCCCTAAGTATGTTTTCTGTGCTTGCCTTATACTTTTCAGAGTGGTACATTTAAATATAGATTTCATTATTGAACTGTCCAAAGTTGGAATCTTTGATGATGGTGTATTTCATAGTTTCATAGTATTAATTGTAGTCGTTTCATCATGCAGTACGTATAAAGTGTGATATGTTTATAGTAAACATTCTTTTTTTTTAAGGTGTCTTTTAATAAAGTATATTCATTTTTTTAAAGTTTTTTTTTTTATAAAGTATAATATGAATTTGTTTAAATGAAGAGAATCAGACTCTACAGATTTCATTAGAATTTCTAAAAACAAATAACATGAAATAGAAACAAAATGTATAACTGTGTCTATGCTGATACAATAGTGTTTTTTTTTCGAGCATTATTTCTGCTAGTATGTAGGTTCACCCCTTCTCGACCATTTTAATTTAGTTTAATGATGTTTTTGTTTAGTCTCATGAAAATCAGCAGTAAAGTTCGCCCAAGGACGGCCAGCGAAGGAGAATTCCACTACCGTGGAGGTCGCACGCCGGACAGGTTTGTTAATTATGTAACTGACGACAGAATACATATCTTAAATTTTAAATATTTAGGTAGTAACATTGTATATATTTATCATTCTTAGCAGCTTTCACTCTTACAGTGCATTCCCTACCCATTAAACTAAACAATAAATGTGATCAAAGCTACTTCTAATATTTGTTATTATTTTTTTAGGACAGATAATATCAGTTATCGAAAGGTCCACTGATTAATCTCAGATAAGATAGTATAATACATACTCCAAGTATCGAAATGCACTCCATCGTGTCGGGATTCAATATTTCAACATTAATTACGTCATCATCAGGAATGAGGTGATAATGACATAATTAATGTCGGAATATTGAATCCCGACATGAAGGCGTGCATTTCGATACTTGGAGTATGTATTATACTATAATATCAGTTATTCATAGTGCATGTGATAATATATAAATATTAAATATTACACACAAGGAAGCATAATGTACATAAAAATGTAAATAATACATAATGGGTTATATTACAACATAAAGCTTCTTAAAGTTATAGAAATATTAACAAATACAGGAACAGAACTTTTATTCACATAGCCTTTCACCTTTACCACGGCTTCTTTTAGTGATATGAAATTAAATACTCCTAACTAAAAAGAATTATAATCTGGACCAAGCTAATTAATCGCTCACATACAGTACTAAAGGCACCACCTATTTTACCAGGAATATTAATTTGACATTCACTTGAAAAAGGCCACTGTACTATGTAAGATTCTGAAACAAATGTGTCAATGTCATTTAAAGTTCACTCGTACTACATGCACTGACGGTTGGCCAACTGTTAGCCACCAAATATGTCTGCGCTCCGTGCAAGGGCTTGCTTTAAAATGCAATGTGCGCCGGCCGTTCTTGAATACTGTTCAGTATTTATTAAACTAATAATGTGTTGGTTCAATAAACAGTACTAATGATTTTTAACTCAGTCGGATAGTATTGCCACATTTTATCTAATAATATGAAATACATAACATTTTTGGAGGATAGATAGATACAAGTCAGAGAAGCCCCTGTTATTCATATTTTATGTAGAGTGATAGGTTAATGTAGTCTGTCATTGTACATAGAATATTAATAACTGGTGTTGCCTGTAGTTGTAGGTTAGTCAGTCATTCAAAATGGTACACTAAATAAATATTAATATTTTTATGAACATTTTTAATAGCTGTGTGTCAAAAAAAACTCACCGCAAAACTATCACATAGATGGTTCTGAAAAGAACTGATGTTTTTGTTGAGAGTGTCTCGACGTTTCGATTGAGTTGCTTTAATTGGCATCATTGTTGATTCAGTCGTCAATAATGATTCTCCTGATAATGATTGCAGCAACTCAATTGAAACGTCGAGACACTCTCAACAAAAACAACTATTTTTCAGAACTATCTGAAAATGCACTGCAAGCATTTATTACAGTAAAACTAGTATCATGTTTTAGTTTATAAAAGGCAGTATATACCTGTAACAGTCCATGTGTGTGTTTAATGTGTACCATACTTTTGCATGTTGGTTGATACAAGTTTACAGTGTTTGCAGTTCCTGTAAATCGTAGTGTACTATTTATACATTTGTTATTGTTGCATTGGTTTTTAGGTTTCAGAGGCTAGGATTTGACCTACTACGCTTATACGAACAATATATGTATGTAACTGTGTAGAACTGTTAAATTTTTGATACATTCTAATCTGGTTATATAAAAATAAAATGTTAGTGCATTGCTGTTTTACTTAAAAATGAATTCTAAAGACAGTAATTGGACATGAGTATAAAGAATCAATATTTGTATTGGTATTTATTGATAATAATATTAACACTATTTTGAATAAACTAATATATTGTTCAGACTTTTCTCAATTCTGTGATTATACATTTATTAACATTAGGTTTCTGGGTTTTTAAAAATATTATTGACGTTTCTTGTTCTTTCTTAAACTAATAAAAGTTATTATTTTTTTTAGGTTGATCAGAATATATTTATTCATTATCATAGATTTTTTAACTGTTTTTTTATAGTTTCAAATTTTGTCTTTTTGATGCAGTATTATTTTCTACTTTTATAATTTTTATAATGATTTGTCGACAGGTTTGATGCCTTTTATTTCAGGTTCAGAGAATTGCAACATTGTTCATTATTAGCATGTGTTTGAAATGTGTTTTGGCTTTGTTCATATATTTTGTATGCTTACATTTTTGCATGCTTTAGTTGTTTCCTCCTCATTTGCATAACAAGTCTCCTTTCTCATGTGTTTAAAGGATTTCTTTATCTGATATTTTGTTGTAGTTTCATAACTTGTGAGAATAGAATATATAAAATTTTAATAAAAAGTTATAGAAAATTCTCATGATAATCTTCTTGTTGGTGATATTAAGATGAAATGATAAAAATGTTTGAAAGATTATGTCTGTTCACCAAAGGATTTAAGAATGTAGTCTTATCTAATAAATATATATTAAAGTTAATTGAATATGAGATATTTTAACTGCCATATTGCTATACTTATACTTTAGATGTAATACTTCCACCAAGTGGCAGGAATTGCTTCTAGGGAACTTTTCCACACACAGGCTGTGATGATGTTGAAAATTCACCATGTGTATTTATACCAGTGTTTTTTTAAATAAGAGAACAAATAGTTCAGTTAATAATATTGATTAAAATGGAAATATTTTTAATATTCAACTTTTTATTTCACAATTTGCTTTATTTCAAATCAATCTTGATTTATTTCAAATCATTTCGAGGTAATAATGACAGTTCGCTAATTCAATTTGCTTCATAATTCATGAGAACATCTAAATTCATAAAAATATCAACATTATGTCTACTATCAAATGTTTTCAAAATTATTTCTGTACATTATTTCTATAATGTATATTTGCTTTAAATAGTATGTATATTTTTCTTTACACAATAGTCCATCAAGAAATCGTCAAAAATTTCCTCCGGCACGTTCAAATTCAAATGTATTTCGCCCACCAAATATGTTTCCCAAGTCGGTGATTAAATCCAATTCTGATTCACCACCAATTCCTAATAGTCCTCTCAGGTAAGCAAGACATAAATAAAAATCACTTGTAATATGAAACTTGTACTGTAAAAATGAGCAGCAAATAGTCAGGAAACTAAAATCAGTAAATGTACTGCAAAGTATGTATGTAGTTGTGCACAAGTAAATATTATTTACTTTGAATTCATGTCAGCTTAACTTATTAAATAATAATAATAATGATAATAGTGGTTTACTTATAGAGCACCTATTGTAGAGAACTCTATGCGCTTAGCATTATTACCCCGGTTATTGGATCAAGCATATATTGAACACATACTCAGGTCCCTTGGGAGAGTTCCATAATGTTGCAGCTGTAATCAGCGCATTTTGTGTTTGAACCTACCAAGTACCTACTTGTACTCCTGGGTGGAGAGAGACAACCGTAGGTATAAAGTCCCTTGCTTAAGGACACAAGCGAAATGCACAGCGAGGGATTGAACCTCCAACCTCAAGGTCGAGAAGCAGAACCACAACCGTTGCGCCACACCGCAATAACAGCTACTATAGCAAAATGTACTTAGCTTTTAATAAATAAAGATAATATATAGTGAGAGTAAGGATTTACTAAGAAATTAAATATTGTTCCTTCATCTTTTTCTGTTTCAGTGAAAGTCCTCAAAGTTTTTTGGACTCGGAGCGTTACACATCAATCATGTGTCATTCCCCGGATGGTAGTATGGATGAATACAGCTCCAGTCCGTTGGATTCCCTACACAGGTAGCACTGGAATGCAATCGGAATAATTCCATGTTTTGTAGAAATAACTGAATAATATATACTGTAAAACCAATTAGTAAAGTGTGCTGTAAAGCTAACAATGAATAATACATACTGCACTAAATAATACATAATGCACTAAATAATATATTCTGCACTGAATAAGCTTTTAAAATGTACAGTATGAAACATAATGTAAAATTAATGAATTAGGAAAATTAATCCCACTGAATTATATATATACACTACTATAGAACCAATTAAGATGAGGTGAGCTACACTTTACAAACTAATATATGTTAATTTCAACCACAAGCTTTTATTATTATACAGTATTTAAATTATATGTGAATTACTGTATTTGTATTTATCTTCACTCAAAGAAATTTTATTTTTGGCTTGCAAAAATAACAAAAAGAAACATATAATCAAGTCTTTAATATAAACATAAACAAGCAGCAAATGCCAAGGATTGTCAAAAGCAGTTGAAGAAGTTCACTTCTTTAAAGAGTGTTTAGACTTAAGTGTTTAGACTAACATGGCTCCAAACTATATTCAAAATCTTCACAGAGATCATTCTCCATTGTGTGGTATTAAATTTTCGTTAGTTAGTTTTATCCAGGTATTGATAGTTCTTTAACAAGGAAATTTACCATGAAACTAATAAGTAATTCTTGCTTTTTATCCATTCATTCAGGTACGGGCGTACCCCCGAATCACCCACGCCAACACCAATCAGAGAAGAGAGTTTTGAAAGCGATGAATACATCAACATGTCACCTTCTGCTTCATCTCAAGGTATATTCACATGGATTCAGGGGATTATTCATTCACATGGATTAAGAGATTATCATCTATTCATATGGATTAAGGGATTATTATCAGTTTACACTTACCAATTATTTAATGGAGCTCATTTTTCAATTCAATTCAAATATTTTTGTTGCATCAAATTTCATCATATCCACTAAAATTACATAGCAATTAGCATTCACAAAAATATTGCATCTCGTGTTTAGAAGAAAAAAATCATACAGAGATCATGCTACTCATTATATCCTTAAAGTTCTACTGCAAATTAGTGCATTATTTAAAGTCATTTGCCAGATAGTAGGTATAGACTTTTTTACACAGCTTAACTGAGGTCGATATTTAATGTTTTTGAGTTACCTCTGACACACAGTTTCTCAATCCAAAGAATAAGTACCTGACTCATTGATGAACGTAGATGAAATTGGACATATTTGGTTTGCTTTAATATTTAGGTCTGTCTCATCCATATTTGGCTAGCCATAGTTGCATTGTAGGCCTGCCTGTGTTCAATTTGTGAATGCATATCCAAGGGAAATATTAGGAGTATCTTCTCCCTAGGTACGGGTAGAAAAATGCCCTTTCAAATGTAATTGTACGGTCTAATGATTATGATAATAGATATATATATATATCGCACAAAACTTGGAGTTGTAACTGGTGGAACAGGGCAATATGCCAAATTATAGTAAGGATACCCCATATTTTTTCTAAGCCTCTGATGTGTGATGCTTTGCTTATTGTGTCAGAAGTTACTCATGAATATTAATGTCTACCTCGATTCAGGCTGTGTAACAAGTTGCTACCCTGCCAATCAGCTCAAATTATTTGCTGCCCTCTGTAGTAAAGTGTGATACATCTTTAGTAGTTGGTTGTCAAGCGAGGGTGCTATTACTCTTTTTGATAATAGTAATATTAATTTATTTGGACTGCTTTTACAACAGCGGTACACTCTGTAAAACAAAGGTGCATTCGAAACTCAAAACTTTAAATCAAATGATTGTAAGACAATATCAAATAAGATTCATCATCCACTGAATGTTAAAAATAAGCACTTCAGCATCCATTGCACAATCAAGAACATTTTTTACTTCAGCTCTCGTGTTTCAGTGTAATTATCTGACAAGAGGTTTATTTGGATTAAAATCTCATCAGTTCATTAAATTGATGTTTAGAAAACAGTTATTGGGTGGAAATTTCTATTATTATATTAATATTAACGTTAAATGGAAGAGGGGGAAAAGGACTTTCAGAAAGACATTAAGAATATAAAATATGGATAAGATAAGTATGAACAAAAATTATGACAGTAAACACAAAAAATTGATAATAGGAAATTTGTAGGATTCTGCTGTATTTCAAGGTACTGCAAGTCCTACAGGATCCTCCCAATCTTCACAGGAATACCATCAGTCATATCCCAAACCAACAACCCTACAATAATGATATTCTATCAACCATTAATTTCCCACCATTTTTCCAGTTTTCAGTTCTCACATTTTTTGTTATCCCTTATATCATATTATTAATTAATATTTTAATTTTTCTCCCATTTCATTTCATTGTTTGGTGTATTTGTATTTTTTTGGTTTCTTTTCATTTTGAGTAGCCATGCCTGTGCCTAGGTCATCTGTTGGTATTGATAAAGGTATTTTTCATTATCATGATGCACCAGTCATCAGCAGTAGTGGCGGCAAGCAAACATCGAGCTATGAGGCCGTCAACCTATACAGTCCAATGAACATGAGCGCATGTGATGCTTCATCCAATTCAGGTTTATTGCACTTTCATTTAATCATTCACTCATATTTTTTTCTTGTCATTTATTCCCAAATCAATTTAGTTCACATTGCATTGGTTATTTACTTTTCTTTTTTTATGGTATTTTTTAATATTCAAGTCATTTTTTAAAAATATAAATAATAGAAATTCATATATGATTCTAACAATTTATAGTTTCTCTATGTGGCAAAGACAAGCCAAACCAGTCACTCATCGCAAATCGTTTTTTAGAGATAATGGCCAAAACATGCTGAAATGCCAACATTTTTGAATTATATAATTTATTGCTAATAAACCGTTTTATATATATGCATCACTCTATGTTTTTATTTTACCCATTTAAAATTTTAAAACAATTTTTAACGATTTGGTGATGGTTTCTGCCTGTGAAATGCCTGAAATCATAAACTTTGAAGGCTGATTTCTCAAATGTTGTTCTTTAAATAGCTGTCTTTAAATTTCTGTAACATCCTATTAAATGAAATGTTTGATTTAAATGATTATTTTACCATTTTATAGCTGTTTAACCTTGTATTAATAACTAAAAATCTATTTTTTGCAAAGAGTAAATGGTTTCGCTTGTCTTTGCCACACATATAAAATATTAAAATAATAAATTAGATTTCAATCAGTTAGTCTATACCTAAAATCTTTAAAATCTACAATATAATAATACTCTTGTTATGCATTAAGCTAAAAAGCATCAAAGATCTTTAAATTTCTTTTTGGATAAGGAATTAAACTGAAGGGCCATTGCTTGAGCCCATGAATGTTTTGGAAGATTAGGTGAACATGAAGCTTCTAAGCGCCTAGCTGTGGCAGCTACCGTAGTCACAGACCACGTCTTTATTCATTTCAGCACAATGATGCTTCAAGTTATGGGTATTCTCTTGCTTCTACCATAACTTTAATTTTATATTTAGCTTTCAATTAGGAATTAGAATGAGAAAATGCTTTTCTTCACAAATTAATAAAGACATAAATAATACCATGGGCCACAGTGTCCTGGGTTATGCCAGGTTCTAATTAATTTCTCCAGTTGCTTCTGTGGTATATAAAAATGTTATGTTGTGGTTTGATAAAAACCTATTGTCCTGAATTGTGATTGTTTTTCTTTCAAGCCACCATGGACCTATGAAGCCACCACAATATTTTAAAAGTCTTGTTCAAAGAGCAATGCTGCCACCAAGAGTGTAACTAATTGTTTGGTGCCACATGATTGGCTGGCTATAGCTAGACTTTTTCACACAGGCTCAATTGCAGTGGATATTAAGTTACCTCTGACACACTAAAATCATTCCTTTAAATATATCAGGCTCATTGGCACTGGCCTACCCTGCTATGCTTATATATACAGTAGCCTAAGACAGTGGTGGGAATGTATACACGTGTCAGGGGCCAATAGGAATGTTTGATTTAACACTGAGGGTTGCACACAATCTTTGACATTTCCAGAAAAACCTTCAAGCATTGATTTCTATACCGCTTTATGCTTAGTTTTAATATTCAAATAATCAAAGATGATAGGTTGGCCACACATATAGGGTTGTCGCGGGCCTATAAGAAACGGTCATCAGGTCGCATGTGGTCTGTGGGCCGCACTTCGCCCACCTGTGGCCTAAGAGATACAGACGTTTAAAGGTCTAAACATTTTCAAACCTAAGTTTCAAAGAACAATTCTAGTGAGCTTACAGAATGATGATGTGGAACAAGACACTCTTTAGGTTATTAATTATTTCATACATTATCCCAAAATATTTAAATTATTCTTCTACTAAAGTTCACCAGAGGTGGGGAATCCCAATGCAGGGCAGTGCAATTCTCCAAATAGATGAATAATATGACAAGCCAATTCGTAGTTTTATCTGCATATTCCCATATCCAAGATCAATCGATATAAATCTATGTTGTGTGTGTTTTGTTTATGTTGATTGACCTCGATACGGGCATGCACAGTTCAAACTATTGGCTATTACATGGCAAGTAATTTCTCTCGATTCTCCACCTCTGCCAAAATATATTCATTCTTGGATACCCTTGTCAAGGCTTTGAAATCCCTGCGGGAATGCTCACCCCTGGCAAGAAATCCTTACCTATGCTTAGATATTCCCCACCAACTAACTGAAAATTCTCGTCAATTAATCGATCGATGAATTTTATATTGCACCATGGTATCCGGAAAAAGTAATCTGCTCTACCCGAAACAGTATAGTAGTGTATAATATTAATATCATCCCCTTGGAGAATAATCTTCCTTTTTTGAAAAGTACTGGTGTCTTGTCTGTAGAAAATATTGATACCTTTCAAGTTGAGACAATATAAGAATACACTAGGTTGTAGATTAGAAGTAATATTTCTGATCTGTATTTATGTCTTGGTTAATGCGGTTGAGTTAACATTCTTTTAGTAGATTTCAGTGTGTCAGATGTAACTCATGAATATTAATATCCACCACAATTGAGGCTGTGTGAAAAAATCTACTGCCATTTATTAACACTTTGTTTGCTGCCCCCTATTTCTATGTATAATTTTGCATTTGGCATTTGATATTATTAATGATTGTGTATGAATTGTTCTTCATTTACTTCACATACTTAGTGAATAAGTGATGATAAAAATATTGTTATTGTTTCTATTATCGACTGTTATTTCAAAAAATATTATTAGGACCGTATGGTAGTACAATCAGTGTTAATTTGTATATATATATTTTTTTTTCTTAGAAGAGAAACAAGTATATATGAACATGGAGCCCACGGCCAGTAAGAGTCGAATAACAGCTACCAGTTCTCTTGACGTTCCCACCAATCACAAGCCTAACAAAGACAAACTAAGGGCCTCGTCTAGTCACGACGAAGGTTATATTATGATGGTTCCTAAGATTGAGAATAAAGGTGAGATGAGGAAAAATACAGATGTAGGCGAAAGCAATTTTTGTTAATGATAATTTGTTTTGACATTTATGAGATTTATGCGCTATGAAAGCTAATGGAGTCTGCTCGAATATCCAAATGTTAAATAATTAATACACTAAACTGTAGGTGACTTAAAAGTCAATGTTGCATGTTTGGAATTACTAGTTGTAAATCAGCTTCTCATCTTACACTCATTTGAAATGGAGCTGCATTACCACAGTCTTCTAGGAATCATGCTCCCATGATTTTTCTGTCTTAAAGGGATCCTTATTCTGCAGACCACCAGCGTATTCATGTTAAGGTAAAGGGTAGGAGAATAACTCATAACCTATAGCATCATTGAGCTGAGTTGAATATGGGCATAGTCTGTGACCACTTAGCTGCCGTAAAGATGCACTTATATTATCTACATGTTCATATTATTCCACGACGACAGAGGCTGAAACAAACCATAGCGTCAAAGTAACCCTTATTCCGAAAGATGCAATGGGTTCTTTAAAGTGCACACACAAGCTAGATGTGTACACTGGACCCCCATTTTAAGTTCTTGTACGAGAAGACTTTGTTCTACCAACCAAACCCAGCGCCAATGTTAAGGCTATAGTTAGCGGGGTCTCTGCCTTACCGCTCGGTCACTCGACTTGTCACCTTTTAAGGTTGGTGCCAACTTATGTAAAATGAACCTGGTAAATTTTATCTATATTTTGAAAGTACACGGTCGTGTAATTCAGATGACACCATGCTTTACACAGTGTGTGGGAGGAACCCAACTGATGGAGAACATTAATCAATAAAAATAAAGATTGTGAATTTAAATAATGAAGTCAGAAATCTATTGAGAATTAGAAGCATCTAGTTTTGCACGATATTGTGTGCCTAGCGAGAGTGTGTAGAGTGGGCAAACTTCATGTATATGATTAACAGCTCTACATCAAAAACAGTCAATTACTGGAGGCTACATAAAATACACATTCATTAATAAATAATGGCAAGACTGAGCTATTTTCGTTTGTAGTAACGGTTGGCACAGCGGTGGTGGTTGCGGATCTCAAGGATGAGGTCAGTGTTTCAATCCCACGCAGTCCATTCTGTTAGCATTCTTTGCCAAGGCGCTATTTCGGCGCTTGTTTTTTCACCTATATTATAAAAAGGTTATGTGATTTAGTTTTCAGTTGTGAATTAGCTGAGTGACTACAAATACTCCCTAGGAAGTGGAGGAGTTGGCACCTGGTGCGTGGCTCCTTACGTATTAAATGAGCTGGGGTAATAATTAAAATTGGCGTAAACGTGTTGACGAATACCAGCGCTATACATTATTTATAATCCTTTTAGAAACTTTGATGACAAGTAACTAAGTCACAATTGGAAGTATTTTCTAATGGAAATAAGGTGAATCTGGTTCAACTCACAATTCATTAGTGAGTTTTAGCTTCCTGGAGGTCCTTAATGTTACATGTATGTTTGCAGTCATATGTAAACACTTTAAATTGAACCATAAGATAGCAAGTAGATTAATGCCAAGGTCTGCGAACCTCATTATCTTGACATTCAATTATTAATTTTTAATAATGATATCGACAAAAATGTCACGAGTTCTCAATAAGCAGAAAACATCCGTATTGGTTTGCGCTTATCTTAATTATACTGACATTCCATAACAACATTAAAAAAAACCGGATCCTGCATTTAAAGTTAAATAGTATTCACAAGTCTCTAAATTCAATACTAAGGGTGGCTAGGTTTTATTAGGCCAACATGGAATCACAGGATAGATAAGTCCGGATGTTTACATTTTGATATAGGATTATTGTTTAAGTTCATGATGTGGTGTAATGTCATAGCAGGAATGTTATTATTCATATTTATCTTCAATTACAAACCTTAAATGCATAAGACACAGACTTAAATTGAACCTACACATGTAAACATGGATGTTAACTTGAAACGAATGTGGATGAAATACATTCGAACCCCAATCTTTAACACAGTTTAGTGTGGAATTAAAATAAAGTAAAAAGATTTTCATTGATTTAAATTTCTCTTATTTATTATTTTATTTTTCAATCCCCTCTAAATAATTCATTTCATTTATTTTGTTTATTTTTGTTAATGGTTGTCATTTTTGTCAATGAATTTTTAGTTTCTGTCAATTTCTTGTACCACCTCTAGTTTAACCAACTGAGCTAAAGTGCTCTCAAGCACTTTTAAGCTCTAGATTTCTAAAATCTTAAACATTTTTAACTCACAATTGTTCTGCTTACTATTTCAATTTTTTTTCTAATCCATTTTGAGTGTTTTATTGATTTTAAAAATTTAAACTTTTTGCCAATGTGACAGATATTTTAGCCTTTGGAATTTGTGTGGCATAGTGGTTAAGGCTGTCGAGTTTTGAGTCATGAGATCATGAGTTTGAGGCAAGCGCTGATCACACTGCAGGTGTCCATGGCCAGGACATTTTATCTACACTTACCTCTCTTTACCCAGGAGTATAAATGAATACCTGGTAGGAGGTGAATGATTCAGTATGTAATTTGTTGTGCTGAATTACCTGCATAGGAATTCTTTATTCATAAGAGATAGGAATACTTCACATTGAGCAGAGGAGAACAGCACGTTGTGTATGATTGATTCGGTGTATCAAATAACCAAAGAAAAATGCATTTTTATACAGTTCTGAAAATGATATGTGCACTATGTAAATCTTAAAATATGAAATAAATAGTAAATATGTCTGAATTTGAATAAGTACAAACCTTGAATATAAAAAAAGTGTACTTTCATTAGAAAAGGGGTTTTTCAATCAGTGAGCAGGTACTTGCATTAATTTTGAATGCGTACTTATGACCTTTACAAATAATGACCAGCCTTAAGGAATGACCTTAATTCTTCACAAATGATTAGTTTTCATAAGGAAAAGGATTCATTGAGAATTCCCATTATACTATATTTTTTATTGCTTTCTACTTCATTGCATGTTTAATTTAGTTAATTTGCAGGATAATTTATACCAATAGCAAAACAGCTTTGTAGACTTAACAGGCTTTAGGAAATATTCTTCTATTTTTAATTGGCAATATATCTTTAGTAGATTTTGGCACAGATCATGTATAGGATCTATGATTTTGGCTCTCTTTTTTTTTAAATCCCTAGTTATTAATAAATATATATTAGTAGTTTATTATTAGGGTATAAGTTGACATTTGTAGATTTTGTTTGATTCATTTTTAAACTAAATTCTTTAAAAAAACTAATCCTAATATGGATTAAAAGAGATTTATTTGATAATATTGGTATTTATATTGCATGTGTAGCTTGTAATATTATTCACGCAGTTAAATATACTTAAACACGAAAATCATTCGAATGAAGCTGAAAATCCTATAAATGTCACAGACACAGACAATTTGTTAAAGCCCTAGTGATCAATGTCATTTACTGGCTAGGTTGTATAATGTCATATTTACGATTCGTGAGTTTTCACAACATAGTTTTAATGTGCCTGTGTTCAGGAAGGGTAAACATGATAGTCCATAAAATTAACAGGGCATATAATTGGTTCGTGTCATGGATAAATTAATTTTATATTTTTTAAGCTTTTTTTTTTATTACCTGGGATCCAGTTATGTTACATCTGTACGATAGTATAATACATACTCCAAGTATCGAAATGCACGCCATTGTGTCGCATTCAATATTTCAACATTAATTATGTCATCAAAATGAATCTAAACAAAATTTACAAATGTCAACTTATACCCTAATAATAAACTACTAATATATATTTATTAATAACTAGGGATTTTTAAAAAAGAGAGCCAAAATCATAGATCTTATACAGGATCTGTGCCAAAATCTACTAAAGATATATTGCCAATTAAATATAGAAGAATGTTTCCTAAAGCCTGTCTACAAAGCTGTTATGCTATTGGTATAAATTATCCTGCAAATTAACTAAATTAAATATGCAATGAAGTAGAAAGCACTAAAAAATATAGTATAATGGGAATTCTCAAATGAATCATTTAATACATCTGTACATTTCATGCAACCACTTGTATTTTTATTTTCAGGCAGTTCTTAATTATTCTAAGTATATAAAGCTATATATATTTGGAAAGTGTATACAATGAAGATTTGTGTCTATAATATGTACAAATAATTAAAAAAGTAACCAACAGTTACCCTTTCCTTCTGCTGAATAATGCGCAAGCTATGTTAAAACTTGGTGTTGTATACTTTAATAAATTAGCTAATAGACATATAAAATTTAATTGGAAAAATAATTTAGAAATTTACATAAATGATGGTCCAAGTGATGAAAGTGATTTGGCTAAATACATATTGGGTAGTCAAAATACGATATGTACATTTTTGTGGAAATTCTCATGCATTAGTTATTATAAGAACATGAACATAACATTTTTTCAATTTTTAATTTTAAATAGGCCTATGTTTACCTATTTTGCATCTTTTACTGTATATTCTAAACCTTGCCAGATCACTATCTGTAAATATTCGCTCTTGTGCAATTATTACCCTGGCTTCTGGACCCCATTGGAAATAAGTCTGGTGTACAATCACTAGACTTAATGGGTCATCCAGGAATTCAATTAATTATTCATCTCTTTTATTTTTTTATTTACGTTCTCAAAATTTTATTGTTAGGTGTGTGATATTGAATGCAAAATAAATCAAACCAAATCAAAATCAAAGTCCAGATTATCAAATTTTCTTTGACAAAAAAGCTGTTGTATGCCCATATATAGTCATGATGTGCCTATATATAGTCATGATGTGATGTCATCATGACCATATTTGGTATGTCACATGTTTTTGTCAAGTGAAATTTGATAGTCTGGACAGGGTCTTAGAGACAACTTCCAGCAAATTTTTAAAACTATTTACAGCAAAAACCATCACAAGTAAAAGACAGGGTATCCTACATTCTAATCTAAAATTGACCTTTAATAATGTGCATA